CATAGCTACTGGATGGTCATTAACCTCACACACTAATTTGTTCACTTCTTTGTACATAAGATAATTTCTGAAAAAAATAAGAATAAGAGTTATTGATTTGAGATATGATTTGATACTTAATGTCCATTCTATGCGTTCTATAAGATTGACTGATAAGATACGACTTCTTATCTTACTCTTAAGGATTGATAAGATAAGACATTAAAATCACCCTGAACTTGACATAAACATTATCTTAGATATGGAACCATATATTTCTATGAATCGGAAACTTTCTGATGTTTCTTTCGATTCCATTTAATAGGACGGTACTAATACTTTCTATAATTTCTCAATTTACATTTAGATTTAGAAAGATACTACTAAACACAAGGAGTTTTTCACCAACCGAACAACGGAAATGGTTGATCCGGCATCAGTTTTCTACAAAATATGATGTAAATTTTTTGCAATATGAAACTGTCCTATACTTCTACTTAGTCCATAATTATATATATTAAACCGAACAAAAAATCATAAACCGAACACCCTAAGTTATATTTGACTTTGTCAGGTTAGCAAAATATATCTTTTAAGTAACTTTGAAATACTATTGTTTTTATTATAAAAAAAAAATATAAAATGTGAAAATAACGTTACTGTCACAAATAAATTTCTTTTAATATCTTTCGGTATTTGAAATTAGAAAAATCTTCGTCATTAAGACAAGTTTATACAGGTTTGAACTCATTTTCCCGGAATATCTATTTTCTGAAATAATATTTATGTTTTCTAAAAATGTATCTAAATTAATTACAGCTTCATACTGGCTGATGTTTGTTTTAATTTATAACAAAAAAAAGTTTTTTTTTACGCATTTATAATGAAATTGCTGGAACAGATTATACTAATTAATTAACTGTTCGTTTTAAACTATTAAGTTATATGTTATATAATGGCAATCAGTTAAATGTTAAGCGATTCAGAATTTTGCACGAGAAAAAATAATTTTGGTCGTTTTTCAGTTATCAGGTTTGTGCCTTAAGTCTTCTGTTTTAAATTAAGTGCTTCACGAGCATTCATGTTTAGTCACACATTTTTGCTTTGGTATATAAAAATGAAGATTTATTGATTTTTTTTTTTGAAAGTTATACCTTTAATACAATATAAATTTTATTATGTCACTCAATAAATATTTCAAAGTAAAAAATTAAATACCAAATACCATTTAGTATTTTTAAGCAGTTATTAATTTCAATGTAATGATATATAGTTTACCAAATAAGTTTTAATTTATACTTCATCAATTGCAAAATATACTGTTTGCATTAGAATTATTTAGAACATAGAAGACTATGAAGATCCGCATATAAATGGATTAGTTATTTTGTAGAATTATATCATAAAGCATTAATAGCAAACTTTCCCATCTTTGCAACAGATTTATTACCTAATTAATAATGTGAATAAAACCATTCAAAGTGATCATGTTCATTAAAA